CAGAGGGGGAGGGGCGGAGCACCCAGCCTGCAGGAGATGGCTCTTGGGGTGCTCAGGAACTCAGAGCTGCCCGTGACCTGGACCTGATCACCCTGGCGGGGTGGCCCGGATGACCACTGGGGCGGGATCCCAGGGCCATGCGGTATGTCCTACCACGCTGGTATGGGAGGATTCCGTTTTGCTGGGGAGAAGTGATTTCTTTTTTCTTTCCTTTGGGGAGAGCGAGAGGAGGAAAAACAAAACAACACAAAAAGTGGATATTTGAATTAAACGGGACGCTGGTGAAATGGCCTCTCGGGCAATTTGTGATGAGTTCTTATTCCTGGGTGGCATCTGGGGGAGGGGACAGAAAGGTGCCACCGTGGGTCATCCTCCCGCATGCACGACTTTGTTTGGGAGGTGAAAAGGTCGTTAGCAGTAATAAAATGATCATTAAATTGGGGAGAGGTTAAAGGTTACTGGCTGGTTAGCGGTGAAGGCGCGCTGGCTGGTGTCACCCGGGAGCTGCAGGAACCGCAGTGCCGGGCTGCGCTGGCAGGAAGTGGCGAGGGCAGGGTGGGGCTGGGGCCCAGGATCCCACTATCACAGCGGGCCCGAGGCCCAATCACTGACACCCACACAGCCGTTTCCTGCACTTAAAAAAAAAAAAAAAATCTGTTTCTCTCTTTGCAAATCAACAACTTTTACCTAGAAACTCTTCAGCGGTGAGTTCTGACTGATCTCGATCTCCGGTTCGTTGCAGAAATATACCATTGTTTACCTGCGGGAGGTGTGTGCGAGGGCTCGCTTTAACTGACTGGGTTCGGGGGGCTGCCTGCAAGGGGGGGGGTCTGATTTGCATCTGCCTCGAAGAAACTAGTTCTCTTGGCCCCAAAATAAGACACCTGGTAATTATTTAATACCTTGATAGATGTTTCTAGAAAAGACCTCTCGGGCGAGGAGAATTTAGTATTGACAACAAGGTTCCATCGTTTCTCTGAAGATGACCCTTGATGGCCCTTGAGGGGGTCTGGCTTGGATGGACAAAGAACTGAGTATTCGACTTTGAGAATGGCTGCCCGCCCACCAGCCACTCCGGTGTAAGATGCCAGAATTTTTCCTCGAGGACCCTCAACATGGGTCCCAGGGGGAGGGCTCCTTACCAAGCCTGCCCACTTCACATTCATCCAACTGTATATCCCTAATATGCTGTTGATCGTTATGTCAATTAAAACCTCAGTCAGGCTTTCAACAAAACAAGACAGAAGGAAAAAAAAAAAAGAAAGAAAGAAAAGAAAAAAGCAGCTCCCACGGAATTTGAAAACTGCAGTCTTCAGTACCCAAAAAAACCACATGTGACTCAGATCCAAACCTGCATTTGGTCCTGTACAAGCGAGGACCCGGAGGGGACCCTGGAGCCCTCTTTGAAGTTCAACTCCCCGCACCGCTTCGTTTGTCAACGGAAAAGGCTTCCGCTCAACTGCAATCTTGTGGGGGAGAGGCCTCCTTTGAGAAGGCCCTGCGCGGACTGGGCTGCCTCAGGGCCCAGCCTCTGTCTTTCCTGGGAAGGTGCCTGAGAGGGCAGGAGGGCCCGTGTCCTGGTCCCTGTACCTGAGGTGTGGGCGATGCAGGCCGCACGCGGCACATTATGGAACAGGGCGCTTTCCCCTCACGCCCACCTGCTAGGCCATGTTCAGGGGGCAGAGAGAACCGAGGCTAGGTGAGGTTAAATCATTCATCCGGGGCCATGAGGGGAGCGGAATGCAAACAGGGATCCCAGAGACCAGCCTGGCCAAGCAGCCTCCTGCGTTCTAGCAGGACGAGAGAAGAGGCCTTCGATTCTCCTGGCCTGGCCTTGGACATCGGCGCCATTACCAGGTGCACAGGGCTAGCAGGGATCTAGAACATTCCGCGTTCCCTGGGATAGACAAGCCCCGGACGGGAACGTGGCAACATCACATGCATGCCACACGCAGGGCAGTGAGATTTTGGAGGGTCTCACTGTGTTCTCAGGCTAGCAGTGGTGTCGGGGTTAAGGCAGCTGGATTCCACATGGATGACCGCACTTGAGTCCTGGACCCAGAGGCTTGGAAAACCATGCCGGGTGCGTATGCATGTGTGCTCAAAATCCTGAGAGGAGACCGGAGGAGAAGGGACTAAAGAACAGCCATCCCCCCAGGGGCTGACTTTTCACCTTCCCTCTGTCTCTCTCGGGTGAGCACATGCGTATGGCAGGAACCTTCAGACAAAAAGCATTATCTCCAGCGGTCTGCCCGTCCTTCAGTCTGTCCTATTTCCAAGGAGTTACAAGAGCTCCTGGGAACTGGGGGCCCTCCTCCCTGCTCCGCTGAGCTGGGGCCATTGCTTTCCCCGTAAGGCCCCTGCAGCCAGTGCCAGGAAGACCCCAGAGGACTGAGTGTGGCCAGGTTAAGGCAGGTCATCCCTGCGTGCTGCCCACGTGGTCTCCCAAGCGGGAAAAGGCCAAGTCAGCGAGAAGGGCAGAAGAGTGTGTTTCAGGGCCAGCCCGTGGTGTGGCGGGTAAGGCAGCTGGCTCTCACACGGATGACTGCACAGTCTGAAAAACACACCAGGTTGGGACCAGCAGTTGGCGTCACGGCTATGTCGCTGGACTTCCCTGTAGTCGACCACGGTTCGAGTCCCGGACCCAGTGGCTTAAATTCACACCGGGCGCGTGTGTGTGCGTGCCCAAGATCCCGAGAGGAGAATGGAGGAGAAGGGATTGCGGCGTGGCCATTCCCCCTGGGGGGAGTGACTTCTCATTTTCTGTCTCTCTCTTTGGCAAGTGCATGCACCCATAAGCAAAAATCTCTCAACAAAACAACGGGAAGGAGGGGGGGGGGGTTTGGGAATTGTGCACAGCTGGGCTCCAAGGCCCTTAACCGAAGAACCAGTGCAAAAAAAGCCAACTTCCTGGCCCGACTCTTGCCCTCCCTGAAATGCGATTTATTCAAAGCCCTCGTGCAGCACCCCCACCCCCCCTGTGCACAGGTGCATGTGGCAGCTGGGGGCTCTCAGATTGTTAGAGGTTAGTATGAAATCACAGCAAGGAGGAGGCTGAAGCTCATACGGCAACCACCACACCGTCTGTACCTACCACCCAGCAGCGAGTACAGTGTGGGATTTTTCTGTTCAGCCGTGGCTTCTAGGTAAAAGAATCAAAAGAGAGATGCTCAGGCCCCACCAGGAGACCCCGCGGTCGCTGGCGTGAACATGCCGCACGCGCCCCGGCCGTGTACCAGTGCACACCCGCTCGCTCTCAGTTTGGTTCTAGTTACTGATGTCTGGGGGTACTGGGGGAGGCTTGGATGGGAGGCAGGTAGCCGGGTCAAGTGGTGGCCCTGCTGCCACCTCGCCGTGTGACCTTGGGCAGGCCACATTGACCTCGCTTCCCTTCCCTCTTCCAGTGAATGGGCACAGTGTTTCCTGTGCTATCTCATGGGCCTCTGGAGAGATAAGGGTGAAGTGCCCCACTTCCTAAGGTGCTGTGGGGGTTCCTACATTTCTGCAGGGCACAGAGGGACACCCCACACCACACCAGCCAGGGCAGGCCCCAGGGGTGATGGCCCAGAGCCGTGAGCAAAGCCAGCCCAGAGCCCCCTGGGGCTCCGATCGCTCGTGACAACCTCAAAAGCCCTCCATTCTGAAGCTAGGGATGAGGAGGTCTTCCCAGCCCTGGTCACCGAAATCTTACCAAGCACGCTTCTCTGCTTTCTAAGTCCACGGTCTAACAGAAGAGACCACAGCGGGGTGGGGAGGCTCGCAGAGGGAGACGGGAGAGGTGAGGGCAGGGGGAAATCGCCGACGCACACGCACACCCAGCGCGGGGCTTCGGGCAGTGGGGAGACGGGGCTGACGGTGTCCATGAAACACCGAAAACGCAGCGTTGCGCTTGTGAGCTCCCTGGGTGGGGATATGTCCTCCAACCCACACTTTGCCCTGCAGGCCAGTGCATGCGTGTGCATTCCTATGTGAACATGTGTGCATCTGTATGCATGTGTGCGAGCCCTACGTGAGAGCAGGCATGCAGCTGTGTTATGCCTGCATCACGTGAAATGCAGGGAATGTGCACACACGGACACGTATGCATGGGCCATGCACGGTGCTCACCTGTATACCTGCACGTGTGTGATCACATGTAAACACATGCAAACACGCATATACACGTGTGCGCTGTGTGTGTATGGGCAATGAGAATAAGGACACGCACAAGTACATGTGAGTGTGCATGCATCTCTTGCATGCACGGAATGTGTAGGCATGTGTGCATGCACGTGTGTGCACCAGCTATGTGCATGTCAGTGTGTGAACGTGCACATACTCACGTGTGTGTGTGCACATATGCAGGCACGCATGTGTGCATGCTGCCTGTGTACTTGGGCTGCTATCTTTCAGGCAGAGGGAGGAGGTTGTCAAGGGTCCCCTAAGGGCCACTGCCTCTGTGTCAGGCATCAGTGGCCTCTCGGGGCTGGGAGGGAGTCCCTTTGTTGTCTGTGTTTTTCTCCATTTTATGGTAAGTGTTTTTGATGTGCGGCTTACAGAAACGGTCTCCTGCCCACAGTTCTGCTCGAAATCCGCATGCCTGCTGGGCCACGCTGGCTCTCGAGATTCACCCCCCAGGAAGCCAGCCTGGGCGAAGCCAGCCTGGGCCCTGCAGGCAGAGACCCCCTCCTCCGGAGAGAAAGCCCAGGGCATAGGAGGCAAAGGGCAGTGGTTTTCTTTGTTGTTGTTGGAGAGGGTTTTTTTGTTTGTTTGTTTTTGCTATAGGGCGTGTGCACTCACCAGACAGACAGAGAGAGACAGAGAGACAGAAAGCGAGAAATCACCCCCCAGGGGGGATGGCCATGCCGCAATCCCTTCTCCTCCATTCTCCTCTCGGGATCTTGGGTACGCACGCACACGCGCCCAACATGAGTTTAAGCCACCGGGTCTGGGACTCGAACCGTGGTCGACTCCGTGGGAGTCCAGCGACATAGCCATTATGCTAACAGCTGGTCCCAAAGGGCAGTGTTTTAAAAACGACGTTCTCTCTGTTTACCTGGACTGACAGGTGGACCATGTGTGGGTCCATGACTGGCTGGCCTCAGGTCAACGATCGGTCCTAACTGGCTTGATACACGAGATCGCAAGGATGACGGGACCCTCATGTGGACCCCACCAGGGGGGCTCAAGGGGAGGGGCAGGGTTCCAGGGGCTGGAGGGTGAGTACTGCCCTCCCTTACTGACTTGAAAGGGCTGGGAGGTGGAGGGGCACGCCATGCCCATCATCCCCAGGTAACCGGAAGCACAACCATGGCAGCACGTGGGTATCCAAGGCTGTCCCCAACATAGGGACAGAGCAGGGGAGACTGCCCGGAGACTAGAGATCGGATGTCGTCTCAGGCCGGGGCATCGATCCAAGGGATGATGGAGGGGGTGCACAGGTGGGGGAGCCCTCCCAGCACAGAAACAACGTCTTCCTGCTCTGGCCTCGTCACACACATGCGCAACCTCAGAACCCTCGGAGGACAGACACAATGGGCCCTTCCCTGAAAGTCTAAGGCAGGCTCTGGGACCAGGCAGGGAGAAACCGGTAGGCCTACAGGAAACCCCTTTGCTGGAAGCAGTCCACAGAGATGCAGGGCAGGGTGGGAGCAGAGGGGAGCCTCAAGCCATCTTGCCTCCTCTCAATCAAACACAGCCTAGGTGGACCCCCTGGCCCTCATCCAGGTCTTAACTGGCTGGGCAGTTGCTGCCCCCAGGCCCTCCTTGAGCCAAGCTGGGAACGTGCGCAGGTGGGAAGGGAAGAAGCCACAGGGCTGGGGGCATTTCCTGAGCTCCAGCCATGGGATTAGGTGGCAGAGAGACACTCAGGTGGGGGCCGCAGGAAGTCCCCCCTGGCCACACGGGTAGCTCTGAGACCCGGACCTTGGGGACTTCCACACAGCTCAGAGCCAAGGAGCCCAGGGACACACCACGCGCATATACAGCTTGCGCGGCCCCAGGCGACTACGCCGAGGAGAGACCCCCTGGATGCGTGTGTGGGGCCCCGCGGCGTCTGCGAGAGAAAAAAGCGTACTGACCGCTGGGCGGTTTAGGCCGTGGAGGAGCGGGTTTCTTCGGAGGCAGAGCAGGAGTGTCCTGTTTACTTTTAAAGGGGTCATCTGAGAATCCTGCCCCTCCCAGGGAGGAGGTGAAAGGGCCAGAAGGTGGGGGCTGTAAGAGAGGACACGAAAGAGAGGCAGAAACAGTCGTTAAACGGAGGCAGCGGACGTCCACCCAGACGCGCTCGCACACCGAGGGCCGACCCTGCGGGCTACGCGGCACAGCCTGGCTTCCACCCAGGGTCTCGTCCTCCACCCTCAACGGTCGGGGGGGCCCTTTGGCCTGCGAGGGGCGATCCAAATGCACAGGGCAGCAGGGATGACCCTGTCCCTCGACAGGTTCACAGGACAGGAGGGTGTCCCCAGCGACGGCACCATCCGGCCCACATGGAGGGATGCCCGGGTCTTTCCTGACGCCAGGGCTCTGTGCACAGGGTCCCCTGGGCCTCCTGCCTCACCCTCGCCCTGTGCCATCTGCAATGCCAATGGAGACCCTCGTGTGGTGTCCCTTAGCCGAGCCGGCCTGTGTGGTCACTGCTTCGGTCACTGAGAGGCAGCTGTGGCACCAGATCCTCTGTGGGTGCCTGGGCTCTGTGGGTGCCCCCCTGCACCTGCCTTCACAGTGACCCGGCCTCGCATGTCTGTCCACACGGCCATCGCAGCCTCCAGCGGGCTCTCGCCACCTCTAACCTGAATCCTTGACCAGTATCTTCCAGCCCTGCTCCTGCACACCCTCCAGCCACTGCCCCAAACCCAAATCAGATTGCAGTACCCGGTTCTACACAAGTACAGGAGAGCCGCAGACAGCAGGGTGATGGGTGGGAGAGGGAGGAGTGGGTGGATGGATGGTTGGTAGGTAGAATGAGGGAGTGATTGGATAGATGGGTAAATGGATGGAGGGTGGATGGGGGAAAAGAAGAGAGGTGAATCAATGGAGGGGATGGATAGTGAATGGATGAGTAGGTAGATGGATGAGTGATGAATGGATAGATGGATAAATGGAGGGGGATGGATGTTGGGTGGATGAGTAGGTGAATGAACAGTAGATAAATGGATGGGTGGCAGGTGGGTGGATAGATGGATAAATGGGAGGTGGATGGATAGTGGATGGATGGTAGATGGATAGTGGATGGATGGATGGATGTTGGATGGATAGTAGATGGATGGATAAATGAGGGTGGATAGATAGTGAATGGATGGTGGATGGTGGGTGGAGGGATAGTGGATGGGTGGATAAATGAGGGTGGATGGACGGTGGATGGGGGATGGATAGTGAATGGATGGATAAATGGGGGTGCATAGATGGTGAATGGATGGATAAATGGGGGTGGATAGATGGTGGAGGGATAGTGGATGGATGGATAAATGAGGGGGAGTGGATGGTGGAGGGATAGTGGATGGGTGGATAAATGAGGGTGGATGGATGAGGGATGGATAGTGGATGGATGGATAAATGAGGGTGGATGGATGGTGGGTAGATGGTGGATGGGTGGATAAATGAGGGTGGATGGATGGTGGATGGATGGTGGGTAGATGCTGGATGGATGGATAAATGAGGGTGGATAGATAATGGATGGGTGGGTAAATGAGGGAGGGAGGACGGATGGTGGATGGACGGTGGATGGGTGGATAAATGAGGGAGGATGGATGGTGGATGGATGGTGGATGGGTGGATGGATGGTGGATGGATGGTGGGTGGGTGGATAAATGAGGGAGGACGGATGGTGGATGGATGGTGGATGGGTGGATAAACGAGGGAGGATGGACGGTGGATGGGGGATGAATAGTGGTTGGATGGTAGATAGAAGGAGAAATAAAGGTAGATGGATAGTACATGGATGGATAAATGAGGGAGGACGGATGGTGGATGGATGGTGGGTGGGTGGATAAATGAGGGAGGACGGATGGTGGATGGACGGTGGATGGGTGGATAAATGAGGGAGGATGGATGGTGGATGGAAGGTGGGTGGGTGGATAAATGAGCGTGGACAGGTGAATGGGTAGATGGACAGCAGGTGGGTGGACAGGCTGGCTGATAGGTAGAGGTAACAGGAAGGAAGGTGACAGATAGCGCTGAAAGGTCTTGACACCTACAAACCCCAAGCTCCCTTTAAGGCGTCCAAGGTCATGCTCATGCCTTTCCTTGTCCAGTGCTTGGCCTCAGCCCTGGGTGCGCCTCCAGACGCCTCATACCTCCTCCCCATCCCCAGGACACTGACTCAGCTCCCAGGCCCTGCTCACAGGGGTCTCTTGCTGAGGAGCTAGGCCCACCCATCACCGTAAGCCCCATTTCTTCCTCAAAGATGGGCTGGACCCCACTTCTACCCCCAGAGCTCGCCCTGGAGCCCCTTCTCAACCAGCGTCCCCCAATGGGGCACTTGTCACCACATCACAGGGACAGGAGTCACACATCTGTGTGCCGGCACAACACGGGGGGCTGAGAACTTCCACAGAGGACCCGGCTCATCTCAGGTGTGTAGGGAACGGGCCGGGGGAATCCCAGGAGGGAGAAAACCATTTTCTTTTTTTTTCTTTGAGAGATTTTTGCTATAGGGCATAGAGATTTTTGCTATAGGGCATGTATGCTCACTAGAAAGACAGAAAGCAAGAAATCACCTCTTGGGGGATGGCCGTGCCACAATCCCTTCTCCTCCATTCTCCTCTATGGAATTTTGGGCATGCACACACACACTCCCAGCATGAGTTTTAAACCGCCGGGTCCGGGACGTAAACCATGGTTGCCTATGTGGGAGTCCAATGATGTAACCACTACGCCATCTGCTGATCCTGAGAAAATAACTTTCTATGAGGGATTGGGAGCCACTTCTGATAGAACAGGAAATAATGGAAAGTTTAATTAGAAAATAACTCCGTTTTTACTAGTATAGAAAATATCACATTTTTCGGGTCGGCCAGTGGCGTGGTGGTTAAGGGCGCTGGACTCCCACATGGCCGACCACAGTTCAAGTCCTGAACCTGGTGGCTTGCTTTCCCACTTTCCCTCTCTCTCTCACTCTGCCCCTCTCATCAAATTAAAAAATAAGCAGATAAATAAAGTTAAATAAAACCGTTATTTTTTTAAAAAACAAGTAAAATATCCCGTTCTTACAGCATAAAACAATAAGGTAAGCATAGGGTCAAGAGATCCAACCTGGGCAGAGGACACAGGAGTGGGGAAATACACGGGAGAAACGCCAATCCGTCCTCAGAGCGCATGGAAAGGGGAGGGGGCCAGTGGTGGGTGGGGATGAGCCGCAGCAAGAGATGAGAGACGAGAGACGGCGAGAGGAGCCAGTTGGGGGAGGAGGGTTGGTCATTTTCTCCTGTGGACCCAGGCCTAGTGACGACACTGAAGCACACTTGTGGAGTTCCCTTAACTCTTCTGAACCCTGGGAACCAGCAGTTAGCATAATGGCTACGTCGCTGGACTGCCACATAGTCGACTGCAGTTCGAGTCCCGGACCCGGTGGCTTAAACTCACGCCAGGCGCGTGTGCGTGTGTGCCCAAGATCCCGAGAGGAGAATGGAGGAAAAGGGATTGCGGCGTGACCATCATCCCTGGGGGGTGATTTCTCACTTTCTGTCTCTCTGTCTCTGTCTGTCTGGCGAGTGCACACGCCCTATAGCAAAAACCTCTCCAAAAAAAGAACAAAAAAAATTCTGAACCCGACAAATAAATCCCTGGAGAAGTCGGGGAGAAGGGGTCTGGTCCTGCTTCTCGCATGGATTACGGGGATGAGGCTGGTCTCAGTGACAGAGACGTGGCTGCCCTGGTCTCTAGGGTCAGCTCACAGAGTTGAGGCTGCGGTCGCCCCCTTTCCCTGGACCCACCGCAGCAGGGCAGTGGTTGGGGACAGAGGGAAGGAGAGGGGTCTTGAAAGTCTCTGCACACGTGACCCTTTCTCCTGGGCCCCACTGGGCTCTTCAGAACTACTGAGGTAGGAGATGATCCGAGTCGATCTCACCGAATCCTCCCAGAGGCCTTGGAGGGCGTCTCGCTGCCACTGCCCCCACCTTATACCCAGGGAAACTGAGGCACAGAAAGAACGCAGCATGTCCAGATTGTACAGTGGGTCAGAGGTGAATCGGGGCTAGAAGCCACACCGTCTGCCTCCCTGGTACCAGCTCACTGCTCTTGATGCTAGGACAGGCCTGGGGGCACAGTCTGGACAGCCTGTCCTATTCTCGGGCCTATGGAGGAGATGCATGTGGACACGGGCAAGAGACAGAGCTGGCCGTGGGGTCAGGGGACAGAGAAGGCACTTCTTCCCAGGGCCAGCAGGTGGTGTAGTGGTTAAGGCGCTGGACTCACACATGGCCGACTGTGGTTCGAGTCCCGGACCCAGACCTGGCAGCTTGAATCTCATGCCGGGTGCATGTGCATGCGTCCCCAAACTCCCGAGAAGAGAACGGAGGAGAAGGGATTGTGGTGTGGCCATCTCCCCGGGGGGGGGGTGATTTCTCACTTTCTGTCTGTCTGTCTCTCTCTAGTGAGTGCCTGCAACCCATAGCAAAAAGCTCTCAAAAATAAAAAAGCATTTTTTTAAATTACATTTTTTAAAATGAAGGCACTTCTTCCCAAGGAAGATGGGGTCCGCAATCTCCCCGACTCATTTCCCCACACACCCACGTTGGCCTGCTGAGAAACTCGAGTGAGGACCACCAGGGCTGGCTTGGCATGGCCTGGAGCTGCCCTCCTCCGAGGCTGCTGCTTGTCCCCACCCAGGGCAGTGCAAAGTTGACCTTTTTTTTTTTTTTCAGAGAGATTTTTGCCCTAGGGCACATGTGTTTGCCCACTGAGAGACAGAAATCACCCCCCGGGGGGGATGGCCACGCCGCAATCCCTTCTCCTCCAGTCTCCTCTCGGGATCTTGGGCACGCACGCACACGCGCCCAGCGTGAGTTTAAGCCACCGGGTCCAGGACTAGAACCATGGTCAACTACATGGGAGTCCAGTGACATGGCCATGATGCCATCTGCTGGACCCAAGTCGTCCTTTTAAGTACAAAAATCAGCGAGTCTTGGGTTGGTCCCGTCACCAAGCTACGGGAGCCGGATCCCACACGGCTGACCAGTTCGAATCCTAGCCCCAGAGGCTCGAGAGACATGTGG